CTTAATAACGATAGTAGATAGTAACTTACAGTATTAATATTAATATTATTAATAATAAATATTATTAAATACTGTATTATCATTGGTATTATTAATTATTATTACGTATCAATATTACGTATTATATAATTATATATTAACAGTTAATAATATAATAGTTACGTCATTACAACATATACAATTAATCCTGCAAAATCATATCCTTAGATCCGTACTAGTACTTACGTACGAACGTACGTACGTACATACGTACGTACTTACGTTACGTGTAGCCATGATTTGAGCAGATCCTTCCAAGAATGATAAGTTCAGATCATTAGCATGAAATTTATGAATGTAATTACCGCTTGATCAGGTTTGTTCCGTTTTGTAGTTCAATATCAATGACGAATGGGTTAAAAAGGTATTTCGGCACTTTTTTTTTAATAATAAGTGATGGAAATTTGGTGTAGATTATCATTTATTTAAAACGAAGTCCTAGTTTGTATTTCATTCCCCAGGTTCCTTTTTTTCCAAGATAGGTAGCAATTATGGCATAGATCTTGGTAATCGTGTGTACTTGATCACGATAATAGATAATGTGTGCGGATACTCTTGGTCGTGCTAGCATATCATTGGTATCATTGGTGCTGTAACACTTGAATATTCTTAATTGATAACTTTTATCCGTAGGTACGATTGGCATCACGTTCAAATTAGTAGATCATTATCTGTTATTTATATCACTTTCATACCTCTTGCGGTCTTGGCAGTTGAATGGGTTTGCAAAATTTAACAACTAATGCTACCATTGAATAATATGATTAATAATATACACGGCCGATTAATAATCACGTATCAATTTCACGTGACAGACAACATTAAAAATCATATAAAATCATATATAAAATCATAAATCATATAAATCGTGTACGGGATAAAAAGCTTCAAAACTTTGTGATATTTAAGATTAAAAAACGTGACTTTTTAATTATGATTATTGTATTTTGAAGTGAGCGAACCGGCAAAAAAAAAAAAGAAAATAATTTTGCTGTTTAAGCAGGTCCTTACATACAGTGTAAGGATAATCAAACATTTAATTACCCCTTGTTTTCACAATTTAAGGAATCAAAATAACTTGGTTCTCTTGACCTTTTTTTTTTTTTTTTACAGAAATGCTTATACCCTGCATGGAATCAAGCTTAATTTTTATTTTTAATCCGCCGTTAATTTATTTCACAACATTAGATCATGGATTTACTTATTTTGGCAAAGTAATGTCGGTGTAAACCGTGGATGGTTTGTTTTTTTTAAGCAGTATACACTTTTGTGAAAATAAAAGCCACTGATTTATAAAAAGATCTACTATAGTTATTATTATCTGTTACGTATACACTATGGATTAACACTAGTTTAACTAATTTGTATTTTTTCACATATTTTGCCACTGTCATGTATGAATGTATGAATGTATGAATTACGTTAAATTAATTAATAATTAATTTTATGATGGCAAAATGTCAGAAAATGAAAATAATGAAAATATGATTGTATCGATTTACAAACATTTTTTATTTTAATAATAAATAATCTTTTTATGGTGAAATACTATGTAAAAAAAAAAAAAACTAAAAGTTGATTGTTCGGCGTTTTCCAAGAGTTTTTCCTTAAATGTTTTTGCATCTCCGTAAACAATCATCACATGCACGATAATGTTTTGTTTATCATGTAACACTGCGAATTTTTCAGATCCGAATTCTGGAATTATCTGTTATAGAGATTCCCTGTATTTTCCGTATTTTGATTTTTTTTTTACACTAAATCGAAACCGAAACCGGTTAAATGTTACAATCACTATTCATCATTATTTATCGCTATATCGATATAGATTTTATATAATTAGTATATTGTGTAATTATTAGAATTCATCATGTATCACAATCTTTTTTATTCTCATGTACCTTTGCGTACTTGCATACATTAAACAAATGTTACTTTTTTGATTACGTACTTACGTACTTACGTACATACGTAAGCTACTGTATATATCAAAGATTATTGAATTTTCATATAACGATAATGCATTTATACGTACAATAGCATTCATCAAAATTTTTTCACACTCCATATTGACATTTAATCATCAATCAGTCTGATTCTCTGTATATGTTTAAACTCAATCTTATTACGTAAATTTTTAAGATTACACATGCCCTGATCACAACTTTTTAAGGAGAAAGAGATTCAATCAATTCCATTCAACAAAATTAATACAATATATATATATATATATTAGTCAATAAGGTTTTGCCCTTATTGAGTAACAAAATTTGGTGGGGTATTTTTTTTTTTCTCGCACCACTTTACTAAGAAATGTTTGGCCTACAGATTATCTGTTTTAGATGATTCACCATCATTTACATTTCACGTTCATGTTTTTTTTTACGTAAGTGGTACCACCAAAATTTATTTTTAACAACTTACCAAAAAAAGCATCATTAAAATCTCATTTAAGAATTATCGATATATATATATATATATAATAAATAGGAAAATGATTGAAGCATATAAGATTTATTTGTTATGTATTATTTATTTATACTTCTATGCTAGTATGAATTCTGTCGGTGATTGATGTTTATTATATTGTATCGGAAAGAAGGAGGGAAGGAATGTTCAAATATTTGTATATAGTACGTTAATAGAAACGAGTTTGAAATTTCCATTGTACAATTATAAAACAGGTTAACTATTTTAAGCATTTATAATTAAAAATACAAATTTCAGTTGTTGATCCTGTAAAACCCGCAACGGATCCTGAAAAAAATAATAATTAAGAATAATATAATATATGTAAAAATATTTGGTAAGGGTTGCTAACCTATTTGTTGATCCAATGTCCTTTACTATTTATAAAAGTCTAAATTACATGTCTCTTTCCAACTATTATCACCTCTCTCGCCTTTAAACATGTAACTAACCTTGTTGTTTGATCAATGTCCGCTTATTAAATCTCATTAATTCATAAGAATGTACTACTAATGATCTTTTTTGTGATCTTCTACGTACATAGGCACATATTTTTCCTATACCATCTTTGCTCTTTTCACCGCTATCTTTATTAATGTTATTGTGATTATTTAAATTTTTAAGACCTAATTCATTATTTTTATTAAAGTCATAAGAGTTTGTCACATCATCTGTAAAAGAATCCTCATATAAATCTAGATCCAGGTCACAATCATTATCGGGAAAATTGCTCTTATAATCATTTAATTTATGAGCATAATATAAAAATTTTAATCCCACAGCTGCACGACGCATTCTATCGATTTCGAGTAAAAGTTTTTGATATTGTGGTAATTCGGAAACCGAATGATTAGGTTGTATTGAATCTGATGAAAGTGGTGATGATTGACCAGAAAGATCGGTGACAACGCTTGTTGGTGTAGTTATCGTTGTATGATTAGAAGCTCTTGAGGATTGTGGTGACTCTGTCGGTGAACTTGGGGAACTTGGTGAACTTAGATCTGATGATTTTATACGACTTGATTGATACTTTTTGTCTTCGAAATAAGAAATGCTACCCTTTTATTGATAATATTTCATTGATAATATTTTTTATTGATAAAATTTTATTGATAATATTTTGTAATAATATTTTAATATTAGTTATATTATATTATAAAAAAATTAAGTAATAAAATAACATAGATAAAATTAACTAATGAAAGAACGTAAATAAGAATACCTCATGTGAACGAAAAGGTGACAAGTCAAGTGATTCATATTCTTTTCTTGGTGACACATCAGCGAAATGTTTGATGGTAAGACTAGCTTCTTCTATCAACCTAGCGTACTCATGTATAGCTTGTAACATGAGTTCAAGTTGTTCGCTAGTTCTCGCTTGATTAGTGCAAATGGTTGATATGTTTGTATGCGCGTTCTGATGTTTTTTGAGAATCTAAATTTTATATAAATAAAGTATAAATAAACATTAAAATTACAAAATAAAAAAGTCATAAATATGATTAATAAATATAATATTAATAATATAATTAATAAATATAATTAATACTTACTTCATAAATTTGCTCTTGAATCATTTTTAGATCATTATTAATTTCCTCATGTACTTTATTTTGAAGAAATTGAAAATCTGATAATCGACTTTCATTCTCTATTATTTTTTCTTGCATTAACAAGATGCGTTCTTCAATGATATCTAGATCCAAATTACAAATTAAATCGAATAAGATAAAAATAAAATATAAAATGAAAGATATAAAATCAGTACGCATTTAACAAACTAAATTTTTTTTTTTTTTTTTAAAAAAAATTAAAATTTACACAAACCACAAACCTTGTTTTTGTTTTATTTCTTCCATTCCGGTAAGAAAATGAGGAGATCCCTCAAATAACTGTTTCATATATTGAGCAATTTCATCTAAATCCTGATTGAATTGTATAAATTCTCTTCTTGAACGATCCAATTCTTTTTCAAAAGATTCATCTTCAAGTTGATCAGGAACTTCGTTATTATAATTCTATTGAAATAATGAACAATTTTTTTTTTTTTTTTTTTTTAACGGAAAATTAATAAAGTACATTGTCAGATCAAAATGATTAATTTTAATTTCTGATTTTAAATAGGGATCAATGCACACTTGAATAAGAGAAAACCGAGAAAGTAGGATTTGCTGCCGACAAACTATTGGTGCAAAGAAAAGGACCCCTTTGCAATATAGTTATTGCTTTTCACCTTAAATCTATTAAATTTTAAAAAAAAAATTTTTTTAACCAAAATATATATATACCTTTGACATATGGTTTATAAAAAAATTATTTTCTGGAATCTTTATTGAAAAAGCTGGCGATCGTTTTCCCATTCTCTTGCTAAAAAAAAAAGCACAAATACAGATGCTAGCTGTATATATAGCAGTTTATTAAATAGCAGAGTGGGGAAAACGTTTCAAGATTTAAAGAGATCGGTTTTTTAAAAACTTTTTTAAAAAAGGTCACAAAAAGTCAAAAAATAGAAATATTAAAAAAGAAAAAAAAAGAAAATCAGGAAATAAACGCATAAAAATTAAAACAGTGCAGTCAGCGCAAATACAAAGTTATTTTCTGCATTTGGGCACCAGAATAGAACTACGGTAGTTTTAATACCGTTTGAACACTTGCTTGAGAGAGAGCGAACTTGTTTCGAATATCAAAAAAAAAAAAAAAAATTGAAAAAGAAAGGAAAGGGATGAATTTTGTCAGTCAGGAGCTTAGAGGCTAACTGATAACCGCAGGATAAATCACTATATATAGGATTAAATTACAAAAATCGAGCCGCGTTATTAGTTATTTAGAACCAATGATAGATATGTAAAGGATGCACGGCTTAATTTATATAAAGTCATTAAGGTTTGTATAACTGATATAACTGATATGACTGATATGTGCTTGGAATGACCCAGTGAACGTAATGAATGTCGGGATCTGAAACAAGTGACCAACAAAGGCTGTGTTTGTGAATTAGGCCAGATTACCAGATTACATTGATATTTCCATAATTCATAATTTCACACTATCAAAAAAACTATCATCAACTGTGGCTAGATTATTTGTATATCGACGTATTACATACATACATACATACGTACGTACGTACGAAACTATGAAAAAAAAAATCTCGAATTTTCTATTTTTAAAATTAATCTTTAAGCAGCAAATATCAATTCTTAAAACGGTAATAACAAGAATTTTTAAAGTCACATGAAAGATTATTAAGGTTCTCCAAATTGTGTTACCTACTCCTATCATACTGTAGAGATAAGATTCGTATAGTAAAAAAAAAAAAA